TCCCTACCTCATCCAATACCGATCTTTTGACATTGTTCTGCCCTTGCGATGAGGAAATTTCACTCGAGTCTCCTCAGTGGCTCCCTCCGATGGCCAAGATATAACCATGACCTCGTGAGTCCACTATACAGAATTGTACTCGGGGGTCAGGTACTGTACAACGAACTGGTTTGCAATTACCCTCAATTTGAACTGGATTGTGGGCACTATGGTATTGTGGGTTTGTGCCCTTTTCAAACTGGGTTGAGTCTGAATGAACTCCCAATTCATTTCAAACGACGTTTCTTCAACACGTCTCAAGCGGTGACAGGTCAGTAATTCAACCCTCAGCGCAATCCAGTCTCCAAACAGGACGTGAATGGTTAGGATAACGAATTACTGCCATTGCTTTGACAGATTTCCAGCCTCCAGTTGTTAATTAAAGAACTGATTAAATAATTTGTTACAGAACCACTAATTCTTCTAATTAACTCAATTTCTTATTCGGTACGATGAAAGTCACTGCATTTCCCCCACCTTTACAATTAGCTATAAGTAGTTAACGGATTATAAGAATGACGCATGCTGATAGAAACATCTTAAATTTGAAATCACTGATGACTTCTATCTATGTGGTGCATGAGGAACGAGAAGAAGAATTATTACTTTTACTGACCATTCAATTAACTGTCTAAATATAGTTCTTACTTGCAATAAATATTTTATTTGTACTGTCTTTATGAGCCTTATGTTCAGTTGATCAGGTAAGAACTTGCAACCCAATGAAAATAAACAGAGTCCTCTCTCCTCCACCCCATCACCTCCCTTCGCCCACTTATTGTCAGGTTGGCTTGTAGGTTAGATTATTAATGTCTGAGAAATGAAACCAGTTCAGAATGTTAATGAAGGGACATCTGGTACCCTCACAAATCACAGATTGGGAATATGTTACCAAATAATAGGTAATTAATATGGTTAAAGTCTTGCCCTGTCTAGATACCAGCCAAAGGAGCTTTCCTTTCCATATTGAACGCATAATACAAAAGTTGTTTTTTTAAAAAAAAAACTTTTCTACGAGCATTTTAATGATCGTACGTCATCCGAGGAAAATGGCCATCGTTCTGGCTATCTTTATTTTAAAAAAGAAAAGCGTATCCTTTGGAAGTAACATTTTCCTCTTCCAATTTAGAATTTAGAAAATACTGTCACCCACAAATCTTTAGGAATTTGAATGCACTAAATTCTTAGCCATAAATGGATGTGAATTCATGATTTATTTGGGCCATATCTGGTTGTACATCTATTATTTGTAAACATTATGAATAAAATTTTCTGTACCATCTTCATGCCGCAACATGGCTTTCAATTTACAGTAATGGAATTTACTTGGTTCATTTCGACTGAATTATAGTAATAACAAAAAATCCACAATAGCTTCTGAAAAGGCAATTGAATAAACAACTGGTAAAGGGTATAGAGAAAAGGCAAGAGAATGGGACTAAACAGAGAACTCTTACGTGGAGCTCGCGCCAGCAAGATGGGTCAAATACACTACAGATTACATTTCTTTAGCGCTTTTCACATTGCGAGGACAGCTCAAAACATCTCATTTGAAAGATGGCACCACTGACAATGTAGGGCATCCCAGCACTGCATTAAGAAGCATCAAGTATGAGCTCACAGTGCCAATGTGGGGCTTGGACCCACACTCTTCTGACCTAGAAATGAGAATAGCACCACCTGAGCTGAGCTGACATCTAGCCTGTCTATTATTACCAAAGTACAATTGCATTTGTCATAGTTCTTATCGATCACCAGTCTGCAGTTGGAAATTACGAAATGGTGTGTATACCAAAAATACTAAGCTTCAACACGGATACATTTTTATTCCAATCTTTCTCCTCTCCTCTTGAAGGTGTTTGATTTATTTCTTTCCCCCTTCCACTGCGGGTAAAGTTTCACCAGAGCCACGGTCCTCCAACATCTTGCCCAAATGGCTATTTTTCCCGTGTGATCCTCGGAGAGTGAGTGTTGGAGCAGGTCATTCGACCTTGGTGTAGATGCAACACGATTGTGTCCAGTTTTCTCTTCACCTGATGTCCACGCTTTCACAGTTTCTGGTTCTACAGATCCCAAGGGCACGGAAGCCAATTATAACACACTGAAACTGCTGGCCTGGTGGATCCCAGTTCTAATTTACTTTTATTATTTCATGTACACACAACCTTAACCTTTTAAAGTGGATGTTGCCTACGTTTCGAGAGCAGCCTTTGATCCTTGGCTGCCTTTCGCTACCACTTAATGTTGCCACAAAGCTCACTGCCTGCTGAAATGACATTGAAATCCTGTAGCTCTCTGGGTTGGAGAGTAGGGTATCTGTTAAGACATAAAACTTCATCTGTTTAATACTACTTAGAACCTAGGTTTTACATCTTAAATATAGATCAACTCCCTCCACCCCCTTCTGAAAACTCTTGTTCTTTTCCTTTTTTTTCCTTGCGTTTAGAAGAATTCAACATTTTGATATTGTTATCTGGCCACTACAGATCTCATTTAAAATCGTAAACTGCTCTCAGTAAGTCAAAGCGTTTTCTCTGGTATTCACTTTACTTTAATGAAATAGTAAAGAAGTCATAGTTAGATCTCGACTGTTAAAGTCACACTTGCTTTTTAGAATTTATTGGCTAAGACATAATTTTGAGGTAATTATTTTGGTGATGTTTACTATGTCTATATACTGTACTTTGAATGCAAGGACCTTACTCCTTAATATATTCTGGATTTTTAAATGTAATTGTCCCCATTATCCTTGATGCCAGTCCTTGTTCTCATAAAATAATTGATACACTCATCAGGTGCTTTCTGTTTACCTACAGGATTGTGAGAAAGAGCATTCAGCCTACTCGGCCTGTTCCTTCCACAGTCACACAGAGCCAACTGTATACCCACCTCACAAAAACAGGGCAAAAATCATTTGTGGCAGCCTTTTAAACCAGCCTGTCCTAGCAATCTCATACCCATTACACTGCACTCACCACACCAATTCAACAAGAAAATCACAACAATCGACGCGGAAAACATGAATTAAAAAAAAACAATGTTAGGTGTCGAAGAGAACTACAGTGGAAACTGCTGGCCCAAACCACCTCAAATGTAGTTGCACTTTTTAAAATTACATCTTTGAAGATGCACATATACACACGCACGCACGCACACACACACACACACACACACACATCCATCCACGCACTAACATGTATACAGAGTTAATGCCATAGTAAACATGTAACAATGAATTAACTGATGCAAATTGAAATCGTAATTCAGTAACACTTAGACAGGTCTTGTTTTGGGATAAGGGAAGAAGCGAGTGCATATCTGTTTTGGAATAACCTTTTTAGGCAGATTACTATGTGAATTCTGAACCCATTGGACCCCTTTCAATCCAAATATTTTGCAAAACACAAGTGAATAGTCTGAGGAGCTTAAATTCACGCATGTGTTGGAGTCGCGTTAAAACCTTAATAAATTCTCTTTGGGATGTAGACTTTAAACAAAGCATCCAAAACAAAGTAGATCCACAGAGCACATAATAAGGCAGGAGTTGTGTGAAATATATTTAAAAATTCTGGAAAACTGCAAGTTTGGTTAAAAAGTACAACAGTCATTCTTGGTGGAAAACAAATTCCATTCCCCTTCCTTTCTGATAGATCAAGTTCCTCTATGTGAACCTCTCTCTCGCCCACAAAATACACACAAAAAGAGTCGATTCACTTTATGGTATATTCTGTGAATGCTTTGAGACGTCTCAAAGACGTGATAAGGCGCTGTATCAAAATGCAAGGTTTATTGTTATTTTAACGTAAAACTCAAACTACACCGGAATCATCTTCGTTGCTCTTCGAATCCTCTCCAGCATTTTGATATCTTTTTTTGTAGATTGTGTCCAAAATGTCAAATGTGGTCTCACCGGTGATCTTTACAAGATTAGAATATCTCCTTTCGACTTGTGCCAAATAACGCACCAAAGCTTCCTCTCTCTCTTCTACCCTTGGACACAGTTGGACAAACGACCTCTCCAGAATGGTTTACATTCTGAGCTCCAGAACGATTCAAGACTTCTTCCCCAATGGTAATTAACAAGCTGAGCTTTATTCTCCCTATCTCTATGCCTTTTAGTCCTCACACTCAGGTCTCCGGGTAAGAACACTAAAGGTAACATTCACTGCACTCGTTTCATCTGTTGATACAATCTCCCAATAATCCACTCCTGATTAATGATCTCCACATTTCTGCTATGATTAGCAGACAGAAGGCTATTTTCCCCCTCGCCATCATAGGTGTAGAAACCTGTTACTATCGCATAAATAATGATGAGAGATAAGAGCTGGGAATTTATATAAACGGACAGTTATAAAATCTGTTAAGAGCAATATCATCAAAGTGTCATATTGGGCAAAAGCTTCCATTTGATACAGCTAGTAGTTACAGCGGCACAGCTAAAAAAAAATCCAGTGTTGCAACCTTGCCCAACATCTTCCAACTTTGATAGCAGAATTATTCAACAGACACATACACTGTCAATGTTACCTACAAACCGTTTTTTTTCCACATTTCCCCACAGAATCACGACTTAACTCCATTGCAAGTGCTGCATTTCAGATTCTAAATACAACGAATAAACATTGCTTCAACATTGCCGTCAAATACAAACATGAGTGAAGTTTTCAGGGATGAAACAAGCCCAAGAAGCAAAGGTATCAAACCAAAGTAAAGTCCCTGGCTTCCTAACTGTTCTGTGGACTGTAACCAAATATGCCTCGAAGTGATTCCAGATCTTGGAAAAATCCAACATTTTTTTTTCATGTTCATGCATTTTGGCCACAAAGGAAAATCCTACTTAATTCTAGTGTTAAATTAGACATTTCAGGTCTAGCTTAACTGGTGCTGAATTTATCCAAGTACCAATCAAGATAATAATTTGTCATCTTTGTGATATAAGAGGTGTAATAAAGGCTTACCTCCCACAAAGCTTTTCTCTAAATAATCAATGATTTGATTGTAATCACTGATAATATTGTCCTCGTGGATTAGTACCGGCACTTCTTCACCCAGGTTGAGACGCATGAACCAGGGTTCCTTGTGTTCAGTCAACGGCAAACTAACATCCCGCTCATCACACAGCACACCTTTTTCTGCAATCACTAGACGGACCTGAAATAAAGAGGTAAGTTTCATAAATCTCAACCGGAAACAAAGGACACTTTGTTTTTACCCTTTTCCCTATAGAGATGCACCTCTGCTCTTGCCACGTTGAAAGCTGAATCCGTTCAACAGTCTTGAACAATAACAAATGCAAAAGGCTAAGTGCCATGCCTGTCTTTAAAGGGCTCCTCCAGACGACTGAGAGTGTTAGTTTATTTGAGATTTATATTAGAATCATAGAATTATACAGCACAGAAGGAGGCCATTCGGCCAATCTTGTCTGTGCCGGCTCTTTGAAGAGAGCTATCCAATGCAACCCCACTCCCCCGCGCTCTACTTCCATCACCCTTCCAGGCAAACCCCTAGATTTCTTTTAACAATTATTTTAAGTCACTGTCCTCGGGTTACCGACCCACCCGCCAGTGGAAGTAGTTTCTCCTTATTCATGCTATTGAATCCCCTCATAATTTTGAAAACTTCTATTAAATCTCCTCTTAACCTTCTCTGCTCCGAGGAGAATATCCATTGCAAGAATATTGTGGAGTCCTGTAGCTCAATGGTTAGAGCACTTGCTTTGCAAGTGAGAGACCTGAGTTCAATTCCAGGCAGAGCGAAACCTTGGGCAAGTTTCCTTACTCCACACACCTAATAATAATCCCTCCAAAACCAAAAAAAAACAATAATAAATTGGTCATTTTCAATCTACAACTGTTTGTGGGACATTGCTGTGCGCAAGTGGCTGCCGCGTTCGCCCACAAATATACAGTCAATTCACTTTACAGTGTGTTCTGTGAAGCGCTTTGGGACGTCCTCCTGACGTAAAAAGCGCTATATCAAATGCAAGGATTATTATTATTATTAATAATCCCGGCTTCTCTAGCCTCTCCTGATAACTGAAGTCCCTCATTCCTGGTACCATCTTGGTAAATCTCTTTTGCACCCTCGCCAATGCCTTGACATCCTTCCTAAAGTGTGGTACCCGGAACTGAACATAGTCTCTAGCTGAGACCTAACCAGTGTTTTATAAAGGTTCATCATGTTAATTAAACAAAACAGGAATTGACTCCAGGTAAAGAAGATTTAGGAAGAATCCTATAGCAAAGAATTCAAATTGTGATTTGAGAAAAACAAAACAAAGCCAAGAGTGGCTGTGATCACTTTTAATTCAAAGCACTTCTTCTTCCTTCATCTCCTATCCCGAACGAATGCAACTAATCAGTCAAAAACTGAATTAAAAAAACCTCATTCCAATTGCTGCAGAACTGCAATTACATGCCATGGATTTACATACTAGCAGCAGATTTTAAACATACTTTACAATTGCCTGTGTAATATTTTAGCTTTGCACCAAAAATAAAATCAGCAGGAATGAATGTTGGTGAAATGCAATGGACAGAGAGTGACCATGCAATATATGAATACAACATGAATATTGCTGACCGTTTAAAATGTCCTGTAATCTGTAATACAATGTATTTAGATAGGAAACAATGATATTGCTTTTAATTGTGTTGGTACATACCGCTTAAATTACAAATAAGATTTGTTTTAAATCTATGACAGCTAGTATCGATACGATATTGGCACCTTGGGACAGTTCATTGCACAACAATGAGAACACATTGTTCAAATTAGACATCCCAAATTGATAGAGACACTGGTAGATTGATGAATTTAATGGATTTCTTTCCCACATGATGGCTGGATGTAGATAACCTCACTGGTTATAACCTTGTTCCCCTAGCATTTTATTTTATTTCCTTTTTTTTTCATCAGCAGTATTCCGTGTTGTTATTGAGCTGTTTAGGTCCTTCGCCAGTGAATGTCTTTGCTCCTGCTTTTTTTTATATATGTACCATTTGGAGAGAACAGAACCAGTTTTGAAGTGTGAAGGTTAGTCTGGTTCCTATGGAAACCATTCATTATCAATAATGAGCCCTGGTGATAAGAAAAAATACATTTTTAAAAATAAAAATAGCAAGAGGAAACCTGCGTCAATCCACTGCCATGTCAGGCTGGCTGTGAGGGATGTCGTTCCTCCATTCTATTGGGGAAGCATTCAATATGTGACCCGTGTCTAAGCTGACAGAATGCTCCTGATTGATTAGGAAATGGCACGTACAAAACTCATGTAATACCATGGCTTAAGTCCGATGATTGGTCTATTAATGTGCTGGACCACTGCATTCTTTCTCCCCCTCCTCCTCCCCCCATGGATGAGGGTCAACAAAGAGATTCCACAGCCTCATTATCTTAGTTAATTGTAATTATAAGAAAAATGTTAGTTCCTTCAACCAGCTTGCAAGGGACAAGTTTTACTATTAGGGGCAGCATACCTCTACAGTGCTTTATATTTTAATATATATTTTATGTAATAATCCTGGCATTTGATATAGCGTCCTATCACGTCTTCGAGACGTCTCAAAGCGCTGCACAGAAAATACTGTAAAGTGAATCGACTGTATATTTTTGTGGGCGAAACGTTGTTTATTTTGTGCAGCAGTAACAAAATGGAAGATAAACAACCAATGCAGTCCTGTAGTGTCAATGTAAAGGCTCTGAGGATAGTTTTACAATTAAATTGGCCAAAGCTATGTTTTTTTCAAATTTAAGAAGAAGAGCTGGCTGTTCAAAACGGGTGACTGCTCAAACAAAGTGGACTGAAGGCTGGGAGTCACAAAAAGGCATGTTTCATAAAAGTATAAGGTTCCCATAAGCGCATCGAGCTATTTGTTGTTGTTGTTGATTTAAAATAAAACTAAAAGATTTGAAAACTTGACTAACACTGCCAAGTGAGCATTCTTTTATTTAGTTTTCTCTTTATCCTCTACTCATTTTTTTTTACTATATCTTATTTAAATTCCCTCTTTTCCACATTTTCTAACATTTCTACTTATTTGTAATACTAACGACCACCAATCATCTATGTCCCAATCGTACTTTGCAGTTAATAGCAAATTATTCTGCCTTTTGCTTCAAGTTAATATTAAAATGACATATAACTCCTCTCAACCAGCATCAATATAACCTTAAAATGCACACCTGAAACTGGTTTCAGAATCAAACAAGTGAGCGTGTCTCAAATAAAATCATTCTTTAGCTTAAAACTAGGCTTAAAATAACTTACAGCTCTATAGGTTATACAGGGCAGTGCAGTTGTTTCTCATATTCACTTTACAGTATTTTCTTATATTCTTTTCACGACTGAACTAGGTTTCGTAAATCCTTAGTTCAAAATGATGACACTTTAAGTGTCAGATCTGGAGCCCGCTTGTGTATATTATCAGGCCTGCAGTTTATTTTCTAGTGGCTGTAGGCACATTGATAGCTGCCAAATAAAGGCAAATGCAGGATCTATTTAATTAAATTAGAAGCCTGCTGTCTTGGAAGAAGAGCTGGCTGTTCAAAACACGTGACTGCTCAAACAAAGTGAACTGAAGGTCGGGAGTCACAAAAGGGCAAGTTTCATAAAAGCACAAGGTTCCTACAGGCGCATTGAGCTATTTGTTGTTGCTGTTGTTGTCAAATCCTGCTGTTTTCTATTATTAATGGTCTGAGGACAAACCTGCAGCAATAAAGCTATACTGATCTTTTGAGTAGCATGATTAAAATACAGTGTATGGCATCACTTTGGTACCACAGATCATTAGCTGGCAAATGCACATCACTGGGCATCCTGGAGACAATTAATAATAATAATAATCATAATCATAATAAGTCGAATAGTAAGGAGTCTCCCCAAGACCTTCATACATAGGTTGAATTACATTTGCTGCTTTATTCATTTAAGAAAAGATACAGATCCTGCAATTCATTTTAAGCTTTTATTCCTTATATATATTTGCAAGAGCCTGATTCCATTTCAATCCCTATTTGCAGCCAGTCATGCGATATAAGACAGAGAGCAAGATCCGGAAGATCTATCGGATTTCTGACACAGGTTGGATTCATGATCCAGGAATCTGCACCACCAGCAGTTTTCTACACTGAACACAAAGGGAGATTTACATCCCAGTGAACAACAGCATTGGAGATCGAAATGGTTCTTGTTTGTTTTGAGTGCACACTAAGTGACAGTGTGTGTATATATATGTGTGTATATATATGTGTATATATTTTTTAACAGGGTGGCCCAACAAGTTTTATTTTTCAGCTACCCTAAAAAAATCATTTATTTAAGACTGTATTAGACATTGCAATTGTATCACGACTTTTTGGTCACCCTGTGTATATATATATATATATATATATGAGTGCTTTGGCGTTTTAATCCAGTTCTACAGTAAAACCAATGTTATCTTCTGGTGCTACTGTATCTTGTTGCTGTAGAGGGCTTGTTATCTGCTGTAGTTATTGTGACAAAAAAAATGCCAGAGGTGATGAGAAGCACAGAAGGGATTGACAAACACCACAGGATTCCAGTGACTCAGTCGAGATGAAGGCAAGTGAATTCAATCCAATGTGCTTTAGCGAATCCAGGTTCAGTTAAGCAAACGGTTCAACATGAACAACACATAGCAATGCAACACAGTATAGCCCATCGCCTCTCAGTGAGAGTACAGATTCCCTACATTAGTGTGTGGTGTCTGTGTGTGTGTTTTATACACACACACACACACACACACGAGATCTGGTGCCATTGCCTAATAATTTATCCCTTTCACTAGCACACACACACACACACACACAAAAAAACAACCAACCCTCTCGATAGTCACCAATTGAATGTTTCTCTGCTCCCCAGACCAATCCTGGGTGTACTTTCTGCTCTTTAAATTGGGAATACACCCCCCCCCCCCCCCCCCTCCATCCCCATCCCTCCATCCCCATCCCTCCTCTGGCAACATCCAACCCATCTCACATTATCTCATGTGTGTGTTTTGTGTGTGAATTTGGTGGAGGGCGTCGCTGCAGTATTTTCCTCCCCCCCACCCCCCCACGCAATTCCCTTTGAGCAATTACTAATTGCTATTCGAGTTCGTTCTCTACTGACGACCAAAGAAATTCGTTGCATTTTCCTCGACTCCCCCTTTTTTAATCCCACAACTGATAGCAGCAAAGTAGGACACGATTAACGATTGGTGGTGGTGGTGGTGGTGGGAGGGGGTGAGATGGATGGAAATGGCCAACAAAAGCCAGGTTGGGGGGAGAATGAAAGGATTTCCTAGCCCTCCCCCCACCAAAAAAAAAATAAAAAAATCCCAGCAAATGCAACAAAAGATAAGTCTATTAAACAATGCAACAGAGGAGGAAAGGGGCAAAAAATATATAGATGGTACATATAGCTCACAGGCAATAATCATTTAATTTAGAGATGGGTGTGTGTGTGTGTGGGGAGGGGGGGGGTGGTGTGTGTGTGGGGGGTGGGGGGGCTGGTTGCATTTTGGTAACTGTGGTCATCTCCAGTGCAAATAAGGACCAGTGTTTACCTTCTGGAGCTGAAAGACTGGGTCCAGTGATACAAGACGATGCTGCTGCTGCTGCTGGTGGTGGTGGTGGTGGTGATGGGCTTCTCGTCCTTGTCTGAGAGCAGTCCAGCTTCTTCCTGGGCTGGGGCTCCAGCTGGGTCTCTCTCGTTGCCTTTCCCATCGCTCTCGGTCGCTGTGATGGGCCACCAGCTGCAGTTCGAAGCAGGAGAATTCTGAGACGCCATGATAAGAGAGAAGGAGGGGAGGGAGGGAGGGAGGGGAGGGAGAGAGAGAGAGAGAGAGAGAAGGAGGGAGGGAGGGAGGGCGAAGGACTAGAGGAGAAAGCATCAGCACTCGCATCAGCACCACAAACAGGAAGGGAGACCCAACAACCTCCCTCCCTTGCCCACAGGCAATAATTTATGCAGGCTCAAAAAAAACCATAAGAGGCTGCAAATATATATATATATATGTGTGTGTGTGTGTGTGAAAGAAAGTAAAGAATCCTTTTGCAATGTGCTTTGCAATCTGCTGATCCATCTTTTCGTCTGTAGCCATCACCATAGGGATTCAGATGATTTGCCTGTCATCAGGTTTGTACTGATAGCAATTTAGATATTTGCATGGATTCAAGGATTAATACACACTGATCTGACTCAGGTTTGTGCGACAGGTAGGAATATACACAAGGTGTGTGTGTGTGTTTTTTGTTTTGTGTTTTGTGCAGCACAACTGAATTGCAACACGTTGAAATATTGCATGGTGTGTAACCAGACTTAAATATCCTACACTGAAATCTGTGCCTGTGATTGGGATTGTGTAATCCCATAATAATCTTTGCGTTTGATACAGCGCCTTATCGCATCGCCGAGACACTTATACACAATCGGCAGAATAAGCAGACGCTTATATAAAAAAAAATTGCTCACTCGATCCGCGCCTGTTTGTGGGACATTCCGCCCACGAAATATACAGTCCATTCACTTTACAGTTTATTCTGTGAAGCGCTTCGAGACGTCTCGAAGACGTGATAAGACGTTCTATCAAATGCAAGGATTATTATTATTTCTTTCTTTGTGTATTTATTTTTAAGAAGTCTAGATGAGCTGAATGGCCTTTTTTTTTAACCCACCTTAAATTAAGTTTTAATTTAAAACTGTAAAATTAGGTTTTATAATTTCACAGCACTTTAAACTCAAGTACGATTCTTTCAAACGTTCACTCGCAATTTCAATCATCCCAGCTCAGGTGATGTCTAGTCAGCTAAGGCTTCCTCCCAATGTGACGTGAAAGGTGATACATCAATGTAAACTGTTGATGTTATAATAATCTTGTGATTGCCATCCATTAAAACAAATGTAACTTTTGTTTATTGTCAACAATAAACAATAATCTGTATTGCCAGGAAATATACTGAACTTTGTGCTGCAACTAAATACTTTGTAATTAGTTTTAGTTATTCAGCTAATGTTATTATAGTTCTAAATACATTTTCTGTTTTCCTGAGAAATATGTTGATCAATTTTGGGGTACTGTATTTTTTATTTGATTTCTTCATTAAGAAGTAGAAACACCGCAAAGTCAACCTTTTTGTACTTCATATTTTGTAGTCTTTGTTTTTATTTTTCACTTCATTAGCTCTTATGTACCATCTGTTTTTTCTACTCTAAAGCTTGTTATATAAAATTGCCTACAAAAACTACCACTTCACCTGATGATTGAGATATTTTGACGAGACACGAAGATAAACAAATGAGAATAATTTTTCTTCCTTCTAAATGCAAGAAAAACCCGCCTTTAAAGATAATTAAATTATACCATGTAAATATTCATGTGATTTTATTTTTTCAGAAATAAGTGTAAAGAAAAAATGTTTCTGATAATATTGTATCTGAAGGCATTCTGGCTATCAGATCTCAGTGTTTTAGTGGATTATCGGGGTTAGGGTTACAAGACTCCAAGAGAAGAACTCTTCTCCAAGGGAAGAAGAATACTGTTTAACAGAGGATGAATCAATCAGCCTCGCTCTTGTACATGTGCTGGAAGTTAGTTATACAATGGCAATCAAAGAGCCCTAATAACAGGTTTCCTGCTCACCCTCCCAGTCAGGGAATGACTTGACCAGATCTCTTAAACTGTGAGTAAGAACTGGCTTTCTGAAAAATAGATGTCACTAATTCCGTTCAATGCTGAAATGCTAAAAGTGCAATGCTGAGATATGAATTTATTCAAATCATATATCTTGATATGTAGCTCGAGCAGTAAATGAGATGCATATCAATCAGTCAAATACAACTATTTCTTCGTAAGTATGAGAGTCGTAATTTTCAAAAGCCACTGAGAGACTGGGACCTGACGCGCATAAAAATTACCCTATTTACTTTCCAGCCTGAATCTGACCTGCTCGAGTTTGTAAAAGTCATGCCAGTAAGGAATTCAGCCACTGTGAGCTGTCTGAATGCACACAATGGAGACCCCTGTTTTCTCCGAAAGTTGGAGGGCGCTGATGTACACGATGTGTGGCTGAGCACAGATGCAGTGACTCCGTGACTGTGGATGCAAACTTGGGAATGCCCAGGCTATTTGTACAGTGCAGACTTCAAGACTTCCAGCTTTATTAGGTCCGAATACTGACTGTCCTGCTCCTTGGGACGTCCTCCTGACGCGAAAGGCGCTCTGCAAATGTACTTTTGTTGTTGTTATTAAAGCACTGGCAGAACAAAGGACTTTTTTTAAAAAAAACATAATGCCCACAAAATAGTCACTTCACTTTACAGTACATCCTGTGAAGCACTTCGGTCTAAATAAAAAGGAGACGTGTAGATACTTGCGAAGCAAAGGTTTTAAGGGATTTGGAGGAAAGGTGGGGAAATAGGATTTTACAAAAGCTGCCATGATCTAATAAAATGAAATAGGGTTGAAAGGTTGAATGGCTTCCTCGTCTAACTGTGTCCTCCGAGAAAAGACAACACACACCTGCTTGTGATTTTAATGCAATGGTGGAAGTGCTTGTGAGTAGCTTATTAGCTGAAGAGCTCTGCTTCAATGACAAATTGCCGTGTTACATTTTAATCCTGGATTTCCGAAAATCTGATCAAGTGCAATGTTATTCTTTTTCAAGAGGGGGTGCACTACAGTGACTGACGGAAAGGATGGTGCTGGGTATCTCTCACCAGCTGAGGTCCCAAATTCCTCCTAAATCACAGAATGAAGTGACCTGGGATGTCTTTCCGACATGAAGGGCTCTAAACAAGTGTAATTTGTTGAATCTTCAACAACAACAAATTATTGTTATTAACATCATCATCATCATCATCCTTGCCTTTCATATAACATCTTATCACATCGTTGAAATGTCTTGAAATGCTTCAGAAGCTTCACTATAAAGTAGAGTGACCCTATATTTGTAGGTGTGCACAGCAGCCAATTTGCACAGATCAATGTCCCACAAACAGTCGTAACGTGAATGAGTAATATTATCTGGGAGTTGAGCAGAATATAAAGGGCATTATACAGCATTTTTCACACAGGAGGGTGCCTTGAACGACACTAAGGAACCACAAGGAAAGTGGGAAGGAAGAGGGTACGGGGGAAGGCATAGTTAAAGTGGAAGGGATTTAGAAGAGATTTGAAAGCTTTGAGGACATCTGCAAGAACATCAACACCAACAAATTACATTTGCACGGCGCCTTTCACATCGGGAGGAAGTCCCAAGGCGCTGGACAATCAGGGATTTGGATCCGAGCAGGGGGTTGGGATCAGGAGGGGTGGAGGGCAGGGAGGGTGGGGTGGGGGGGTGGGTAGGAGGAATAGCCGAAGGCGCGGTCGAAGAGGAGGGGTAAGAAGGGGGAGGGAGCTGTGGAGAACTGGGGGCATAGTGTCTGAAAACTAAACCGCGGATGGGAACCGACATGGGCAGGACGGTAAATACTAATGGAGAAGTAAACCAGTCTAATATTAAAGGTTGGATGTAATACGAGTACGAGTGGGCAGCTTGTATGGCTATTGGGTACTGTGATATTTTGACTAAGGCGCAAGTCTGTCACCATGTCAGAAGCCGCAGAACATCTTAGTTATTTACGATCCCATTTCGTCACTCCAAGTGACAAGAACCGAAGGGCACCAACCACTCGGCTTGGCCACCGGGCGAGACCTTTGTTTACCTTCTTTAACCTTTCGGGAAAACTGTCTAAATAACCCATTCAGCGACTGAAACAATCGAGTCGGCAAACCGTGGCCCCCCCCCAACACATCTCTGGAGAACAAAGAGAGCGTTCGTTTCAGCACAGGCTCGGAGCAAACAATAACGCTCTCAGTGACAAGCCGGGGAAAAATTACACCATCGCTTTGAAATCAAGCCAGTCACTGATGCATCGCTCTTACTTTGCTTCGGATGTTTGACTTTAGCTGTGAAGTTTCTCGAACGGGGGAAGTGGTGAGGTGGGGTGGGGTGGGGTTGACATGTTATGTTCAGATAACCGCACAACTTATTGTCATTACCCGGCAAAATATTTAAAAGATCAACCTATGTTATGGGTCATGTAGAGAGAGAGAGAGAAAGTTTAATGCTTTTTTTCTCAAAAAATAAATCATTCGCCCACAAAACATACAATCAATTCGCTTGAACAGTATATTCTGTGAAGCGCTTTGAGACGTCTCAAAGACGCTCTACATCAAATGCAAGGATTATTATTATTATTATTACTACATTATTATTAGAACATGATTAATCCTGGATTCCTCTTTATCTGCTGTGCAGACACGTACACTCAGCAACAGTTTTTAAACCTGAGTTCGCTGTGACTTTCTTTGTTAAAAAACATAATTGTAAAAATAACTAAATAAATAAATAGAGACAGACACACAGACAGACACACAGACAGACATTCATTCATTTCAGTGATTTGAAAATAAAACCCAGGCACAGTGACAGAAATGCCCAATCCTAGAATGGATGGTTGGTAATGATTTTAATAAAGGGTGTGAGTGTGTGTGAGAGTGAGTGTGAGTGAGTGTGTGAGAGTGAGTGTGTGTGAGAGTGAGTGAGAGAGAGTGTGTGTGTGTTAGAGTGTGAGAGTGAGTGAGAGAGAGAAAGAGTGTGTGTTAGAGAGTGTGAGAGTGAGTGAGAGAAAGTGTGTGTGTTAGAGAGTGTGAGAGTGAGTGAGAGAAAGTGTGTGTGTTAGAGAGTGTGAGAGTGAGTGAGAAAGAGTGTGTGTGTTAGAGAGTGAGTGAGAGAGAGAAAGAGTGTGTGTGTGTGTGTGGAGACTGTTGATTGGGTTTTATTTTGGGAACCGAGTGGGATCTGATAGCCTTGTTAGGTACGTTGAAACATTCAGCTTCTCTGCTGGGAGAGAGCGAGAGAGGGAAGGAGGGAAAGAGAGAGAGAGGGAGAGGGGGGGGGAGGAAGGGAGAGGGAGGGAGGGATAGAGAGAGAGGGAGAGGGGGGGAGGAAGGGAGAGGGAGGGAGGGATAGAGAGAGAGAGGGAGGGGGGGGGAGGAAGGGAGAGGGAGGGAGGGATAGAGAGAGAGGGAGAGGGAGGGAGGGAGAGGGAGGGATAGAGAGAGAGGGAGAGGGAGGGAGGAAGGGAGAGGGAGGGAGGGATAGAGAGAGAGAGGGAGAGGGAGGGATAGAGAGAGTGTGGGGGGTCAAACAGCTGCTTCTCTTCCCCCTCAATGACGTCTGGCTGTTCAGTTGCAAGAGTCCCTCTGTCTCTGTCTGTGTCTCTCTGTGTCTCTCTGCGTCTCCCTCTGTGTCTGTGTCCCTCAGTGTGTGTGTGTGTCTCTCAGTGTGTGGGTGTCTGAGTCTGTGTCCTTTAGTGTCTGTGTGTGTGTGTGTGTGTGCCTCAGTGTGTGGGTGTGTGTGTGTGTGTCCCTCAGTGTGTGGGTGTGGGTGTGGGTGTGTGTGTGTGTGTGTCCCTCAGTGTGTGGGGGTGAGAGCTGTTAATCCGCTCAGAGACCGCTGTGTGTGGGACAGAACAGAAAGAGACGCCTCTCTCAGAGAGAGAGAGAGAGGGAGAGAGGGACCGTCGGCGTCTGTGCGCGTCGACTTAACCCCGAAATACCGAACCCCGTTAATCGATCGATCGATCAAAAACCAACCAAAGTAATTAATGAACGAACGAATGGACCGATCGATCCATTAATTAATTAATTAATTAATCAATCAATCAATTAACCCATTAAATCCCCTCCCTCCCCCTCCCCTGTGTGTGTGTGTGTGTGTGGCTGTGGCTCCGGTGGCGGTGGCGGTGGTCGTGCGCTGTTCTCGCGTCTATGAGCGGCGGACGGTTCGACTTCGACGATGGCGGCGCGTACTGCGGGGGGTGGGAGGGGGGGAAGGCGCACGGCCACGGCCTCTGCACCGGCCCCCGGGGTCAGGGCGAGTACTCGGGCTCCTGGAACTACGGGTTCGAGGTGGTCGGGGTGTACACTTGGCCGAGCGGCAACACCTACCGGGGCTACTGGTCCCAGGGCAAGCGGCACGGGCTGGGGCTGGAGACCAAGGGCCGGTGGGGCTACCGGGGCGAGTGGACACACGGCTTCAAGGGCAGGTACGGGGTCCGGCAGAGCCCGGCCAGCGGGGCCCGGTACCAGGGCACCTGGAACAACGGCCTCCAGGACGGCTACGGGGCGGAGACCTACGCCGATGGAGGTGAGTCCCGTGCGCCGCGACACCACTCCCCACAGCACCACTCCCCCACTCACCCACTCACCCCGTCCCCACTCTCTCTCCCATCTCTCTCTCCCATCTCTCTCTCTCTCTCTTCACTCTCTATCTCACTCTCTCTTTACTCTCTCAGTCACTCACTCTCCCATCTCTCCCCTGTCTCTCTCTCACTCTCTCCCATCTCTCTCCTGTCTCTCTCTCTTCACTCTCTATCTCACTCTCTCTCTCTCTCTTCACTCTCTCTCTCTCCCTCTCTCTCTCTCACTCTCTCTCTCACTCTCTCTTTACTCTCTCACTCTCCCACTCTCTCTTTACTCTCGCACTCTCGCACTCTCCCATCTCTCTCCTGTCTCTCTCTCACTCTCTCCCATCTCTCTCCTATCTCTCTCTCTTCACTCTCTATCTCACTCTCTCACTCTCTCTTTACTCTCTCACTCTCCCACTCTCCCATCTCTCTCCCGTCTCTCTCTCTCTCTTCACTCTCTATCTCACTCTCTCACTCTCTCTTTACTCTCTCACTCTCACTCTCTCCCATCTCTCTCCTGTCTCTCTCTCTTCACTCTCTCTCTCACTCTCTCTTTACTCTCTCACTCTCCCGTCTCTCTCCCGTCTCTCTCTCTCTCTCACTCTCTCCCATCTCTCTCCTGTCTCACTCACTCTCTCCCATCTCTCTCCTGTCTCACTCTCTCCCATCTCTCTCCTGTCTCACTCACTCTCTCCCATCTCTCTCCTGTCTCACTCTCTCCCATCTCTCTCCTGTCTCACTCACTCTCTCCCATCTCTCTCCTGTCTCACTCTCTCCCATCTCTCTCCTGTCTCTCTCTCTTCATTCTCTCTTTACTCTCTCACTCACTCTCTCTTTACTCTCTCACTCACTCACTCTCCCATCTCTCCCCTGTCTCTCTCTTCTCACTCTCTCTTCACTCTCTCCTGTCTCTCTCTCACTCTCTCCCATCTCTCTCCTGTCTCTCTCACTCTCTCTTTACTCTCTCCTGTCTCTCTCACTCTCTCTTTACTCTCTCCTGTCTCTCTCTCACTATCTCTTTACTCTCTCCTGTCTCTCACACTCTCTCTTCACTCTCTCTCTATCTCTTCACTCTCCTGTCGCTCTCTCTCTCTATCTCTGTCTCTCACACTCTCTCTTTGCTCTCCTATCTCTCTAACTCTCTCTCTCACTCTCTCTTTACTCTCCCATCTCTCTCACTCTTCACTCTCTATCTCTTCACTCTCCTGTCGCTCTCTCTCTATCTCTGTCTCTCACACTCTCTCTTTACTCTCCTATCTCTTTCTTTTACTGTCTCTCACACTCTCTCTTCTCTCCCCCTCTCTCTATGTGTGTATATATATATATCTGTACAGGGGTACCATCAAAAAAAAAACGTCCTGATACCATTGCAGTGTCTAATAAGTCTTAAGGAAATGATGCTGATTAATTATTAGTTATTATTATTAACATTAAGTGGTACCATGATGTTTTAGTGACCATATATATATTTATGTGTGTGTGTATGTGTATATATATGTAGGTAACTCCACAGATGTCTGTGCCTCTATCCTTCAAGCCTTTCGAATTCAAAAGGAATCACATGGATCTGATCTTTTACCCCCAAAAATACTATTGCTAATAATAAGTTAATGATTCAGTGAGTTCTGCAACCAACCCCAAAGTTTTTTTAAAAAAAATATCTATTTTATTATGTATTATATATATCCATATCTCTATAAATCAACGATGAAAGGGGTAATTGTTTGCTGTCTTGCCTGAAGATTCCTCCAACTGTAATTACTTAACTGTAATAACTGGATTGAAAAGTTCAGGGGTTTAACTGTGTGTAGTGTGTTGTTTAAACTTTAAAATCTTATCTAGTTTCCTTTTTAAAAAAAAATCCCTCCCCCACCCCCCAACATGTACTCCCCCCCCCCCCCCTTCACCTCCCTCACCTCCTACTTTTTAATTATTGTAATTATTATTATTTATTATTATTATTATTTGAGCATCAGCTGTTTTGAATCGTTCCCTGGCCTCTGATCAACGTTATTTGTGATATTACGGTTCCCATAGTAACTGCATCAACATGTACCCACGAGTGCAGAACTGAATGTTAAACCACAAGGAGTGTTTTTTTCTCTCTCTCTCTCACTTTTGGGTCATTAACCTGGTCCCTGTGTTGGGGTTGGTGGAAAGAAACCTATTATTTTTATACTGGTCTCAGGAGGGAGCAGATCAGACTAGGAGTGATTTTTTTTTAACCCCCCCCCCCCCCCCCACCACACACCCTCCCCATCTTATAATAATAATAATCCTTGCATTTGATATAGCGCTTTTCACGTCGGGAGGACGTTCCCAAAGCGCTTCACAGAATATACTGTAAAGTGAATTGACTGTATATTTGTGGGCGAACGCGGCAGCCAATTGCGCACAGCAATGTCCCACAAACAGTCGTAGATTGAAAATGACCAATTTATTATTGTTTTTGGGTTTTGGAGGGATTATTATTAGGTGTGTGGAGTAAGGAAACTTGCCCAAGGTTTCGCCCTCTGCCTGGAATTGAACTCAGGTCTCTCGCTTGCAAAGCGAGTGCTCTAACCACTGAGCTACAGGACTCTTCTTCTCTGTCTTTCTCTCTCTCTAAGAGATGGTGGTGTGTGTGTATGTGTGTGTGTGTGTGTGGGTGTGTTGGTGGGGGGAGGAGGGGGAGAAAAAACTGGAATCAGTGTTCAAAAAAAAGTCCTTCTATTTCCCCCCCTCCACCCCACCCCCCAAAAAAAGGTTCCTACATTGCTGGGAAATAATGAATCATTTATCTGGGAAAATACAGTTGGCTTTGAGTTGGGAAATTGCCAGTGTGTGTGTGTACGTGTGTGTGTGGTGTGTGTGTTAGCTAACGGAGACAGATGAGTCATTATAACCCTCCTCCCTCTTCAACCCTTAAACTCTGGAGCTCTTAAAAATTCACTTTTTAAAGACTTGCTTAGAGTTCTCTCTATTTGTGGATGTTTTCCCCAGTTAATTTCGCCGCCTGCCCACACACACACACACACACACATCCCCACATCCCCTAACCTGCTGGCCCCCCTTCTGAAATCCAGGGCTTAAATGTACAGTAAAACTCACATAAGTTCTGATCTGTATAAATCATATAAATCGCTCAAATCGTACCATCTGCCCAAGTCCCGTCGATTTGGTTCCTGCAACTTCTTCAAGTTTCGCATCGCTGGTACTTTGCCTAAGTCGTATTAAGTGTCTGGTTCCACACTGATACATACGACTTGTGTGAAGTTTGCTGGAATGATCTGGTTTTCCTTTGCCGAACTAACATATCCACAAACACACAACACACACACACACACACACACAGCTGGGTGCGCATAAAGAACATGTATCCCTTACAAGATTGTCTGTCTATTACACTCCAGGCTATGTGGGAGCCTAGAGACCGCAAGTATTTTTTTGTGTGTGTGTGTAGCTTACAAAAAAATGATCAAAACAACTCAGACAGACAGACAGACAGACAGACTCTCAATTTTCCACTGGCATTTCCTCTCCCTCTCTCTTTCTCTCTCCCTCCCCCACACTCCCATTAGTAAAACTATTATAGCCCCAAAAGGCTGTCACAATACTGCAACAGTCACTGGTAGCGGCTGGGCTAATAGACTGAGCGTGGAATTGGCAAATCTCTTGATTTACATTAACTGTAGGTGTTTTTCCTGTGCATTGTCGACTTCCTTTCCACTTTTTTTTCTCTCTCTCTTTCTGAGCTCCTTATTATGAGACACGGTTATGCAATGCAATGCAAATGTAACATAGCCTAGGAAACCCTCCCTTCAGAAAACGACCTGATCCATGCAGGTTTCACACATAACCGGGTTGAGATTGCTAATAAAACAGGAAACTTCATCCCAGAATGTCACTTGGGTTGGTCAAGCATTATCACAGATGTTTCCTTCTGCTTGAAACTGGATCCTTTTTTTTGTGGGGGGGGGGGGGGTTGGAAATTACCTTGATATCGTAGAAATTCATCCTTCAGGTTTATGTGCAAGTAAAACAAAAATTAAGACCGTCACAATGATCTCTGTCTTAGAAAGTGGAGCTGTAAATTCCCCTCTGTAATTTGAGTTTTGCATTTAGACTGGAAATACTTGACATTCTCAAGCCTAAGCACTTCAACCAAAAGCGCCCGTCAAAACTTTACAGGCAATGGGAAATACTGAAAGCCAGATTTTTTATTTTTTTTGGAATAGCTTTATTTATTTTCCATTTTCTAAATGCGACATAAAAGCATGAAAAGCAACATGCTATAATTGGGATCAAAGGCACTGATCAAATCCCGAGTGTTTTTTTTCCCCCCCCCCATTACATTTGCACGATAAATAATATTCCATCTTCTGCCCTCTTTCATAATTAAAACATTTCCTGATCGTAGAATGTCCCAGTGTACAATTCCCATTTGTTTGGATTTCTGCAATTAAAGTAATTGAGTTTCATATCATTTCCACTAAAACACTGCACCATTGCTAGGGGTAATATCCACCATAAGCATAAAATGCTGTGCACAATTCGCTGCTGCATTTCACCCACAAAATCTAAGTCAATTCACTGGACAGTATATTCCGTGAAGCGCTTTGAGACATCCAGAAGATGTGATAAGGCTCTATATCAAATGCAAGGATTATACAGTAATCATCTGTATTATGGACAAAGCATTATTTTTTAATATGAGGGGAAATCTGTTTTATATTTAGCGAGCCATTGTTTCTTACATAACAAACCTGGATATCTCGCGATCAAAGTGTGTCTGGCAGAGCTGTTGGTTTGTTTCCATAGTGACCCAGGACCTCACTTTGCCTTGTGAAACAATTACCTACGGATCCACATTATAAGCATTGCAGTACATCTCTGATGGATTTATTCAGTAAATATTTTAATAATGCTGAAAAATTCAATAAGCAACCCCAATAAACACCCTAGGGATCCAATAGTGCATGTTGCAATCAGTCTTAGTTTCTGCTGAAGGCTACAAAGAGTTCATATTTGCTGAAGAACTTGTAACTCACATAAAAGGATAATAACTTTGTCTCCATAAATCTATGGTCCTGGTTCAGTCAGTCTCAGAACCTTCCTCTCAGCTGTATTGAAATCTTTCGGAGGTACTGGCGATCGAAATAATCGCAGTCAGTAAATGAAGATAACTTTAAAAATCTTATTTAAATCCAGTAATATGACAATGATTCACATTAGTCCATCCTTCTCTCTTGCTGCCCTACACATATTTTAATCATCCATTTCATCCTCTGGTTCCTGATGTCAAATGAATAATTTGTAACATTTTAATATTAAATGTAGGTAACGTTGCCAGCCTTTCCGTCATTCTATTTTAAATGATAATTTTCTGCTCATAAGAACCAAAGGCTATTTTAATTTTAAAGTATCTTGTCTCATCAGTGGGTTATCCATTTAAATGTCCCAATGAGGACTCTTTGCAAGTGATGAGATAAGTCAAAGGTGACTTTGCTCCTTTAATGGGTATTATTCCCGGGCGAAACGTTGGCCAAGTTTCCTTACTCCGCACGCCTCTGTTTACCTAGCAGTAAGTAGGAACCTGGTTGTTAGTCGATAGGCAGATCGCTTTTCCGGGGATAATAATTCCTTCAAAAAAAATAATTGGTCACTCAATCCACGAATGTTTGTGGGGACGCTGCTGTGAGCAATTGGCTGCCGAGTTTCGCCCACAAAATATACAGTCAAATTCACTTTACAGTATGTTCTGCGAAGCGCTTTGAGAGACGTCTCGAAGACTTGATAAGGCGCTGTATCATATGCAAGGATTATTATTATTATATTGTTCATTTCTTTTTAAGGTACGTATCAGGGCCAGTTTACAGGAGGAATGCGGCATGGCTACGGAGTGCGGCAGAGTGTGCCCTATGGGATGGCCACATTGATCCGCTCGCCTTTGCGCACCTCCTTGACCTCTCTCCGCAGCGAGCACAGTAACGGGACGGTCCTGCAGCAAGATGTCTTGGCCGATTCCCCTGCCGTCGTACCCGTGGCCACCCCCATCTCTGGTCCGAGCCGTGGTGGCTTCGCCCTCAGTCTCCACCACACGGGAGAGGCTCAGCAGAAACCCAAGAAGAAGGGGTTGTTCCGACGAGGCTCGCTGCTGGGCAAACTGAGGAAGAGCGAGTCTAAGACTTCCCTGTCCAGCCAGAGGAGCAAGCTGAGTTTCCTCAAGAGCGATGCAGGGCTCAGCTCAGCCGCAAGCGATGCCAACTCCACCGTCAGCCTGGGCGATGGTGGTGAGGACTTCCCACCCATCGAGGCGGACATCGATGCCACCACCACCGAGAGCTACATGGGCGAGTGGAAGAACGACAAGCGCTCGGGTTACGGGATCAGTGAGAGATCCAGCGGGCTCAAGTACGAGGGGGAGTGGCACGATAACCTGAGGCACGGCTATGGATGCACCACTTTCCTGGACGGCAAGAAGGAGGAAGGCAAATACAAGAACAACTTATTGGTCAAAGGGAAGAAGAAGCATTTGATGCCCCTGAGGACCAACAAGCTGCGGGAGAAGGTGGAGAGGAGCATGGAAGGAGCACAAAGAGCAGCAGCTATTGCCAGGCAGAAGTCTGAGATTGCACTGTCCAGGTAAGCAGCACCGGAAGTCAGTCATACCTCCTGTTTTTATTCTGAATGTGTATTTCTCCCCCATCAAAAAAACTCTGAATGTCACTGAATATAAGTGACAAGTCTTCAGAGGACAGAAGTACTGTATAATACCTAGCAGACTCCCAATCCTGTACTCTCATAGGTGGACTGTCACGTTACATGTCTTTGTGAACTCGCATCTGTGGTCATGAAAGCCATTTATATTTTAATGCCGATTTTATTAATGCCGGAAGTGGACGAAACTAAATTCATAAACTAATTCAATTTCTATCACTCAGATCAGTGCTATAGTGTTGTCTTGCTCATAAAGCAAAAAAAATGAGCCCTCAGCCCTTGGTTTTTCAATGTGTTGATGGTCAAAAGTTTTTGAATTCTATAGTCACGATTGCATTGCACCATCGTTTGGGTTTAGCTTGTTTCATTAAGTAATATCACAAGTGAATCAGATCACGTAGGGACCAAGGCAGGAAGTCAAAGTGTAATCTTGTGTCATTAATAGAACAGTGCATATATAATGGTGGAATTTTTGGTTTGACAAGAACATTGAAGGCGATTTTTCACCTTTCTCATCCAAAATTCATTACTTTATATCTCTGAGTTTAATGGGAGCCTTTTTCGATTAATTTGCCAAAAAATTTTTTTTACGTTCGTCATTTAATATAAAGGACGTGCTTTAATGAAAAGTGCTGGATTATGCAGTTACCCTTTACTTTTTTATGTCTACATCTCTCTTTTTTTACTGCTATGTCTTCTTACTTGACTTCCTTCTCCAGAATGTTGTGTCCTTCGTATCCACCTGTCCAATTGAGTTGAGGTACAGATCAGCCATGATCTTACAGAATCATGTCTTATAGAATGGCGGAACAGGCTCAAGGGGCTGAATGGCCTACTCCTGTTCCTATGTCCACTATCATAACACGTTCTTGTAGCTCTCTGCATCCTTTTGTGGTATTTTTACTGTTACGAGTCACATCTGGATCCCCCTCCCCACACACAGACACCTTGTTTCCTCTGTGTGGTTAACACTTGGGTGTCCCTTCTCCTGTTGCAATTTCCTACACCTTTCTGTTAGGTAACGCAATGTCTCATCCATTTCCCATCTTCTCTTGATGTCTCTCTTATCCACTTGTTTCTTTCGTATTGCAGACACTTATTTTGCTGTTGCTCCTCATCACCGAGTTTGCCCCTCTCTCTCTTTCTCAGCTCTCTCTTTAGTGCTTTTCATCACTCACTGCCACCCGTTCACCTTTATAAAACTCTTGACAGTTAGTCAATGAGGCTATACTGCTCTGCACCATTGAACGTGTATAATATGTGTCTGTCTCGCTTGTATGTCCATCTCCAGTTGTCATTGTTTTGTGCTTTCTTGAGTTTTTATTATTCTATTTGACATCACTCTTTGATCCACTGGCCATCTCTCCTACCAAAGGACCTGAAACCATTTGTTCTTCACACGACTGTCAGTCTGAGAACCTTGTTCCTCTCATTTATTTATCTTGTTCTCCAGGTCTCCTTCATTATCTTTCTCCAAAATGCTCCCGGTCCATTCCCTTTTGTCTGGTCCATCTTTGTATATTCCATTTCTTTCCTCCCAACGTCTACGTGAAAGGTGCTATAGAAATGCAAGTTGTTGTTGTTCCTTTTTGTGTTTGACTTTCCCTTTATAAAGATTGCCTAATCATATTCAGTCAGTGTAGCTGCTGAAACATATTAAGGCCTGGGCAAAATGGTGATGCAATGCATTGGATAACGACTGTAACTTACAGTACAGTGACAGAATGAGGCTTGATGGCTGACTTTAGAGCTGCAATCTCTTGCTAGCATGCATTACATATCGGAAGACAATCAGATTGTTTCCTGAGATATTAAATATGTCACCTTAAATTCTCAAAAATTGAGCATTTATCGTAGGATTCTGAACTTTCAGGTTAGAGGGGGAATAATTACAGTACAATAGCAATCGATCAAGGCATCCAGTTAAATATCAAATGTCATGAATGACAACTTGTAGGTGTTTTATTATCAATGAGCATAAACATTTTCAAAGCTTTATTGGTTAATTGTTGCCAACCCCACGCTGCATGTTTAATGAGACACAAGGAGATTAAGATTTATAAGGCTACTGAGCAACCTTTGCCTTCTTTCAATATTTGATGTTTAAACTTCTGTTCGCCAACCGTTTGATGCTCAGTTAAAGGTCTAGCTGCCATTACTACTTTGATGTTGAAGTGATCTCTGCAGCTACAGTATTTTTTAACCCTTTGTATCCACACTAAACTGGTTTTGTGTGCAAAGGAATTGTGTGTTTCATGTCTCGGCAGCTAAAACTGCTGCTTAAGCACTCCGGGATGCTACCTCGCATGAAGGGCGCTATATAAATGGTGGTTGTTGTTGTGGTAGAAAATTGTAGAAAAGGCTTCAATTCACATAGATTTTACTAGTGTAAAAAAAATTGCACACCTGTTTTCAAATGTCTTTTGAAATATTTTAATAATTTTGGCATTCGATAATAGAGCCTTATCATATCAACATTGAGACATTTTAAAGTGCATCATAAAGTTTTCCGTAAATGACGGTTGGGGGGAAGTAATTGTGAAATGAGATTTAGTAACCGTGAATAGAAAATAATTTACTTCCACCAAAATGTTTCCTAAAAATATTTTGATCTGATCAGTTTTTTTGGCCATATATAAGTGTATGTCTTATTTTAAGCAATAGGTGATTGTAGAAAGTGTTGAAAATCAGACAAAAAATCCCAAACTGAAATGCTGCATTAATGAGGAAAAGTATCAAATCTCTGTTTGCCCTTATTTTCTCCTTCTTTTGACCTCCTGTTGGCTTTTCCCATTGATTCTCAGCTGGTTGAGTGGCAGAGCCATAACCACGGATGTCTGCGTGGTCACTGTCAAGGCACGATCAGTGAAAAGAGATGGGCTTTTGTGGATCAAGACTCCCCCATTCCTTCCATTAACAGCCCTCCTCTGAGATGCAGCTCAGATGCCATGACTGTTCCACCTATCAGCTGTGCTGAGAGCTGGTATAATTCACTCAGTCAACGTACAAAGGTTACTCTTTGAACTCATAACCTCACTGTTGTGACCGCAGGACTATTGATAAAACCATCGGACTATAGATGAGAACGTTTCATTCACAGGCACTGATTTTATTTGGAATCTGAAAAATTTTGCTTGATACCTCTTGTAGCAATTAATACAATGCTGATAGTTTGAGTTTCCACAACAGGTATCCATCCTGGTGTGTTAAGAAGAGCCTGAGGTACGTGTGCAGTTAAAAAATGAAGTGGTGAGCTACATCAGTGAACAATTAATCTAGTCTATTTTGGTAACAATTCTTTTGTGCTTCTTTTAAGACACAGGCTTAATTTACCAAATTAAGATGAGGTGTTTATCCATGGACGCAGCTGGGGGCTTTAAATGAAATGGTTGTAGGAGACTGGTGTCTGGTGAAAATGGTTAACACCAGTAATACAAGGAAAATAACTGTGCCTGGGCAGACAGTTGCATTTTTAACTGCATTTGAGATGTGTTCTGCTTAAAGTAAATCATTTCTTTAGTGATACCAAAAGCAGGATTCAAGTTATAGAGTTCAAAATTTGTAAGCGAAGCGAGAGCACAGAATCTACACAATGTATATTACACAACCAATCTATTCTCACTCAATAAATTGTCACGTAATTCTTCATTTGCTAATACAGAACACATTTTAAACTGGTATTGTTAGACAAGATTGGACTGTTGTACTGTTGTGAATATATTTAAAGTGGAAGGGCTGCATAGTATACTTGTTTTGTGAGCATTGTTATGCTCATTGTTATGCTGTACCAGCTGGAGAGATAGCTTCAAGCATTTTTTGAGTCCTCATTTCAGGGGTGAAATAATTTATCCCAGTTTTCTAAACAGAGCGCTGTTCACAGAGAAGAGCACGTTTTATTGGTGATTATTCATCAAGGTTGTATTTGAGAGAATAATGATCATATTGATGAAGCGACTTGTGGAAAATGAGAGCGAAAATAAACAATTGAGGAAAGTATAAATAAGTCTGATACATTGTACATTTATGGAAGCATATTTGTGTTTGTACTGTAGCATTGGCCAAAAAGGGACATTGCTGTCTGCACTATTTTAATGGGCAAAAAATAAGTGGTTGTTACTTAGCGCTTGCAGCAAAAACTATATTCTACTGCTAATAATGCAGCAACTGTGTAGAAAGAGCATGCTTATCCTTCTAGATATGATGTCAGATACATCTTATCAAAATGTTGATGACTTGAATAGATTTTTAAAGTTCTGGCCTATTTTCATTTAGATCCATTTGCTCGTTCGAGAGTTCCATTAACTGTTAAGCTTCAATTTCTCTTCAGAAGTGCACTGCTGAAAGACTCTCCAGCACTTGTCTGTAAGAGACATAATATCAGGGTTCTTTAAGGCATAAAGCTCAGGAGATTTCAGAGTATTAATAGTAGCTGCTGTACTCATTTGTCTGATTTCGCCCACAAAAGACGGCCAATTCACTTTACAGGATATTCTGTGAAGCGCTTTGAGACGTCTGGAAGACGTGATAAGGCACTATATCATGTGCAAGAATTATTATTCAAAAGCTTGTGTTGGTAGTCGATTTTCTTGAAGTGTGAGGTTAGAATTGCACAATAATTGAAAGGGATTGTGATCAACATAGGAGTGTTCTTTTGTTGTATGTTTCTAATATTTCCTGATATTTTGAAGTTCAGACGAAGATGATTTAGGGATTTGTCTGTGCAGGATTATTTAGCCAACTGCTCCAGTAAACTGACCTATTGACTTCAAAGAGTCTGAAAGATAACTTGAAAATCTAACAACAATGACGGGTTTGTGGCCATAGTCAGTGAGGGTCAATTTATTTACGTTATATAGGAGGTTGTTCTCATGTGGCAATGTTCAGTTAATAAACATGGTAGTGGTTGGCTGCAGATGTAAGACAAC